GGAACAAAATGAAATCACATAGAATCCGAGCGTATTCGGTAGCGCATTCTTTTTAATTTGTTGATCCGAACCGGGGATTCAGTTATAAATGCAACAAATAATAGTTCATTCAACTGTCAACTGATTTTAGCCGTATTTGATTTTGTTGAGTTGAATTGCAGTTGAGTGAACGAGCCATCTAGTTCAGGGCAATACTGTATTTGTGCTGCTCGTACTACCAACTATCCGTTCGGTAACTGTTATCTCATCATCGAGTTGCTGCTATTTAACAACGTAATTAGGTAATAGTTACCGAGCCTGTGTAACTTTCACCTAATCCTTCCATCAGTGCATTAGGAGAGTTTTAACCATTTACTTTACCACTCAAATAGTTCACCCCGGAATGTTTTATCTCTCCGATAAAAGAATATTGACTATTGATATGAAGTATTCTGCATTAGCAGTATTATGTTATTGTTAAATAGGAAACAGGGATGCAAAAAAATCAAGTGTCACTGCAGACTAGAAGTATGAAAAAGATTGATTTGGTTTATTTTTCAGGGTACAAATGGGCCAAGACCAACTTACCCAGGAGCCAACAATGGTAGCGCGGGGAACGCAGGAGGTGGTGTGGGTGGTGGTGTAGGACCCGCAGCTGGTGGACATGGGTTAAAAGGGAGTGCCGGTGGTGGACCACGTGGTGGTAACCCAGCACAATACAGAGCAAGTGCTACTAGCGCCTGGAATACATCCCATGCAATCGCTGTGGCAGCTGGTTATCCACCTTATACAAGATATCCAACTGCTGCTGCCGCTGCCGCCCCGGCCGCGGCGCAAATGCCGGTTGGACAACATCTACCGCCAACAGCTAATCCTTATACTGCTACTACTTATGCACAGCATGCGTCAGTAAGTATCCTATATTGATTGGGTAATAAAATAGTGGGAATTGACTTTGAAGAGCTCAGCTTGATTAAGAATTGATGGATTTTTTCGATCGTGGGGCGCCAACGATGATTATGCTTGCATGTAATCATCAATTGACCAAGAGAAGCCTGACTCTTTCAGCAAATTTTTTATAACCATTTCCTGGGCTTCGTGAATTTGGAATTCATAACCATTATCTGTAATTTTTGAGACAAAATAGTTCAAGGAGCAAAAATAATGTCAGTGGTATTGATTATTTGACTTATTAATTTATAATTTAAATAACAGAGCAATGCACTTACCGCCAACTTATTGTTGAATGTGTCATTAAGAACATAATATGTAAAAAATTATAATAAACGTAGTGTAAATTAGAATTATTAGTTGATAAATCACAAATATACAATTTTTCAATTCGTTTATTTATCTTGAAGAGCATTAATACCCTTGAGTGATATCAATATCATATCTTAATATCATAAATTCTTCATCTTTAAAGTCATTGCATAAGTTTTCGTCTTTTTTCCTCAAATTGAAATTCGTGAACATTATAGACGATGTTATAAATTAAATAACTAATAGGCGTCAATTAAACAGAATTGAAAAATTATTTTTTTCAGTATGGAGGACAAAGAGTACCGACGGCCTCATCACCAGCAAATACAAACAGTAGTTCCAGCAGTGCAACTGGCAGTCAGAGTGGCACAATGAGTACGAACCATAGCAATAATGCAATGCAGGGACAGCAACCAGAACAATTATCAAAAACAAATTTATATATCCGTGGCCTCAACCAAAATACAACGGACAAGGATCTTGTCAACATGTGTTCTCAGTAAGTCAAATAATTATTGGTATAATTTAAAGTGAGGAACAGTTACTGATTTCTTACTCAAACAAAAGGAACGGATTGGATTACTAACTGGCTGAAATTTTATATTACTACACTGTAATTGCAAGATACCGACACGGGAAGGGTCTACTCTATGGCTTGTCGCTCTCTGAACGACAGTTTTCTGGTTATATGATTCTTATACAACATTTTTCGTGTATTTATACTCTAAACGCCCTAATCGGAAAAACCAAGCACCCTGCTTATGAGTTACTACATGTTCTTAGCGAGATATTCACTATCTTTACTAATTTCAAAAAAGTTAAATTTCAATTTTGGGACTTGGACACTTATAGAAGGATTAGGTTAAGGTTACACAGTCTCGGTTACTATTACCTCGTGACGTACGTCACTACTCCAGAGAATAAACTAAAGTTTATTTCTACTCAAAAATATTAATTCAAGAACTCCAATTTTCCCTGGGCAACAGTCCGTAAAAGTTAAGGTTCCACAAGTTCGCAACCAAACTGAGTCCGGCGGTGACAATT